TATATATATATATGTCTTTTAGCAGTCTGGGCTCTATATGGGTCTGTGGGTCTGACACAGTCACCACGTTGGCCCTCTCGGGGGAAGGCCACATGCCACACAGAGGGCTTTTGTTGTTTCCTAGGCCTGTTGTTCAAATCCCAGCTCCGATGCTGGCTTCTCTGTGCCCTTAGATGACCTTGTACCCTGCCTGGCCGTTCTTCTCTGAATTGGGAATTGCATTGTTGGATGTGGTGGTGGTGCACACCTACAATCCCAGCACTCAGGAGGCTGAGGCAGGAGGATTCTCATAAGTTCAAGACCAGCCTGGGCTACATAGTGAGCTCAAGGTCAGCCTGAACTACGTCAGTGAGCCCTGTTTCAAAAAACAAATGAGCAGAACAGTTAAATAAAGACATGAAGTGCCTGGCACGTGGAAGATCCTGAGTTTGATCCCTGGAACTGCAAAGAAAGAAAGAAAGAAAGAAAGAAAGAAAGAAAGAAAGAAAGCAAGCAAGCAAGCCAAGACATGAATAAATGGTCCTGTGTGTTCTGGCAAAGCCCCCTGCAATCTTCCTTGTTCCCTGAGGTGAGCATGCTCCAACAGACCTGGAACCAATGTGCAGCTCAGACCCAAGTGACACAGCGACCCGGAGGCGGAGCTCATGGGCCCCAGGATCTGCAGAGGCCATGGCTCCCTCCCACACCATGACTGTGCGTCACTCGCCAGATTCAGGAATGTTGTTGGCAGACAGCGTTCCACGGGACCCCTTTGCCCACCCCGCAGGGCTTGAGGGCTCAGCATGCTGTGGGACTCTGCCTCGAGTTCCTCTTGTGCTCAGTCTTTGCTCCTGCAAGATCTGCGCTGCAGTCCTGCCTCTCCTTGCCAATCCTTTCCTCCTCATCACCTTTTACAGGTGCCCCCCCCATTCTTTCTTTTCTCTGTCTTTTTGAGATGGGATCTCGCTATGCAGTCCAGGCTGGCCTCAAACTCACTTTGTAGCCCGTGCTGGTCTTGGACTTGCCATGACCCCTGCCTCGCCAGTGCTGGGGTTACAGGTGCGCCCCACCATCCCAACACAACCTGCATTCCTTTTTTTTTTTTTAAAGGGTTTTTTTGTTTGTTTGTTTGTTTGTTTGTTTGTTTGTTTTGTGGAACCGGGGATTGAACTCAGGTCCTTGCGCTTGCCAGGGAAGCGCTTATTCTACTGAGCCATCTCCCCAGTCCCACAACCTGCATTCCTAACATTCCTAATTCTTTTGGGGGTGGCAGTGGGGGGTGGTTATAGGGAATCAAACCCATGGGTGCTCTACTGCTGAGCTATAACCCCAGTCAGTCCCTTTCATTTTATTTTGTGTTTGTTCTGAGACAGGGTCTGGTCAAGTCACATAAGTGGAACTCAGACTTGATCTTCCTGCCCAGCTTCCCTCAAGAGCTAGGAATAGAAGCCCGTGGCACTGTGCCCGGCTCTGCAGTTCTAGTTCTGTCTCAGTGTCTGCCTCATTCCAGTACCCAAACCGACACAATCTTATCGCCACAAAGCAGATTTCTGTGGGTTCAAACACTGAGGACGTAGCTCACTAGTTGCCTGGCTGTAACCACACTTCGATTAGTTTTATTTATTTTTGTGGTTTTTTGCAGTACCGGGGATTGAACTCAGGAACCTGAGCTTGCCAGGCAGGCATTTATTCTATTGAGCTATCTCCCTGGCCCTGTAACCATACTTTGATTTGGTTCCCTCATCTGTAGAACAGTAACACTCAGCACTGGAGAGGCTGAGGCAGGAGGATCACCACAAGTTCAAGGCCAACCTGGGCTACACAGTGAGATCCTGTCTTAAAACACCAAAAAGAAGATAAGAAAAGTACCTACACCCCTATTTTTCTTTGTTAAATAAGATAACCCATGTGTGGTGCTGAGCAAAATGCCCAGCACATAGTAAGCACTCAATAAATATAAACGGAGGTTGCCGGAGGTGGTTGTAAATCACCGTGGATAAATGCAAGCTCTATGTAAATGCTAGATGGTAAAATGCCCAGTCAACAGGAGTAAATCTCACGCAGATCTTTTTTTTTTTAATTAATTATTTATTATTATTTATTATTTATTTTTGTGTGTGTGTGGCCAGCTCAGCCCACCAGGGGGCGGGGCTGGCTGGCTCACGCAGATCTTTTTTTTTTTAATTAATTATTTATTATTATTTATTATTTATTTTTGTGTGTGTGTGGCCAGCTCAGCCCACCAGGGGGCGGGGCTGGCTGGCATGTGGTGCTGGGGGATTGAACCGCGGTCCCTGTGCTTTGCTTAGCTTAGCTTGTTCTAAGTAGGTGCTTTAGACCACTGAGCCATCTCACCAGCCTCACGCAGATCTTTAAAAGACTGAAGAGTGACAAGGTGAGTGGACGAGCTCGTGGGAGTGTCTGAGTCATCACTTGCAATCAAGAAATAGACCCATACACGACTCTGCACGACTCTGCTCTCTCCTCGGAGTGCTTTTGTTCCCCCCTTTCTCCCAAAGCCACTAAGGGAGGCAAGGTCAGCATTGCTGTCCCCACTTTACTGATAAGGGAACTGAGGCACAGAGAAGCTAAAAGACACCCCCACACACCACAAGTAAGAACTAAAGTGGAGCAGAACTGAGTCCACGGTATGCTCTGGGCCAAGAATGCTGGGCATCACTGAAAGAAGCACACAAATGAAAAGTGAGGGGTTAGGGGCTTCCCCCTGCAAAACCATGGCTGTTGAGCCGTGGACCAATGGGAAAGCTACTTTAGGGGTGACCACTGAAGACAGTGGGAAGATGGTGTGGACAGCAGGGGAGTAAAAGGATCAAATTCTATAAGAGCAAGAGATAGGCCCGAGAGAGATGGCAGGGCATGGGACAAAGCAGCGCTCTGCTAAGAGGCAGCCCTTCCACTTGCCCCAGGCCAAAACATGTGCTCAAGTGCTACTCCACGGGATCAGAGAATTTTTGTGAGCTCTGGTGACAGAGACCTGAGGTCAGTGGCTTGACCTCGGAGCTCACTGGGGCAGCCAGGCCTAATAGGATGGCTGATGCATCTGTCTTTTTTTTTTTTTGGCAGAAACCGGGGATTGAACACAGGCCCTTGGGTTTGCCAGGCAAGCGCTTATTCTACTGAGCCATCTCCCCAACCTGCTGATGCATTTGGAGGTACCCAGATTACTATCCTTCCCTCTACTTTCCCAGGATTTTCATCCATTCTCAAAGTTACCTTGGGGCTGGTGAGATGGCTCAGTGGTCTAAAGCACCTACTTGGAACAAGCTTGGCAAAGCACAGGGACCGCGGTTCGATCCCCCAGCACCACATGCCAGCCAGCCCCGCCCCCTGGTGGGCTGAGCTGGCCACACATACACACACACACTAAATGTTAAAAATAAATAAATAAATAAAGTTTAAAAAAAAAAAGAATACTTTAAAAAAATAATAAAAAAATAAAAAATAAAAAAAAAAGTTACCTCATAATCCAAAACATCTGGATTATGGTGGAGAGAACAAAGAGTGTGTGCCAAATGTCTTAGACTCCTCTGGTTGCGCAGGAGGCTGGGAGTGCCGTCTTCTGTTCCTCAGATTGTTACCATTCTGAGTAGAATTAGAGTCCTGAAAGTAATGGAGAGAAAGAAAACTAGGCCAACAACCGTGAGGTCACTTAGTCCCACAGGCCGGGAAGTTACAAAGAGATCACTCTTCAAAGTCTTCTTCGAGACTCCACGCTAAGCCTAAGCGCAGCTCAGATTTGCCGCAACTTGGATTACTTAGACAATTTAAGATTTCCAGCTTAGATTGCAGTGTGAGGTAGAGTTAGATACTATAGGAATGTCTTGTAACACACAGCTGGGTTATAAACAATTCTGTCTTTTAAAGATATATTTCTTTGATACAGGGTCTCACTACCCAGTTCAGACTCATAGTGATTCTCCTGTCTCAGCCTCCCCATTGCTGGGATTACAGGCATGTACCAC